GGACCACGGACACAGACAGCGGACAACGGGCTCTTCCAATTACGACCAACTCCAGACAATGGCCCGTAAAACATTCTAACACCAATCTCCGAGCGGCTTCAATGGCTTTCTGGCACTCTAGCCAACTTTCCAATTGGCAATAAAGCATGCGAAACCAATAGCATTACTTCTTTCTATTTTTCGTACTTTTTCGTTATTTGTTGACCACAAACTGTTGATTACCAGGCCGCGATACTGGCCTTTTCACGCGCCCTCCAACCGCAGACAACAGCAAAGCGGACACAATGGGGCATTGGAGGCGTTGGTAGAATGCCCAAAAAAGGTATCGGCATTTTGGCCACAAAAACAAGCAGAAAAGACTCTGCTGCACTTTTCTGCACTTGAGCGGCTAACGGTAGTTCCAGCTAACGAGCTAACGTAAATTAAGATCGCTTGTTCTGGTCTTTTTCTTCGGATTTTCCAGCCTTTCTCGGTTTTTCCAGCTCCGGCAGCATCTTTCGTGGAACAAAAACCAAATGTGCTCGGCGGCAAAAAATAACCGAGAAGTAAACAAAAGATTCAGCCAGAAACAACATCAGCAGATCCAAAGAGCTGGGGGAATGCACTCCTTTCGTTCTGCTCGTATTTTCCCAAAAACGGAAAGGCCGGGCGAAGACATCAGACTTCACTCAACGCCAACGCACTTGGTCCATGGACGCAGATCCCCCGACCCAGTTTCCCATCCCGAACTCCCCAGATACACACGCATCCGTGAGATACCGGCACTCATTTGCATGTGGGCAGTGGGTCAGTGACTGGCGGGAAATCCATCTATCGGACAACCGAGATTCTGATGGCTTGGTGGGCAGTTGGCGAGCAGTTGGTTCTCCTTGGATAGTTACGGCTTTGTCTAGTCACCACGCATTACCATCACCACCACCACTACTCTCCCCCGTCGATCACTGGAAAACAAATAGCATTTCCCCCACCCACATCGCCTCTTTTCTCCTCCGCTGACTGCCACAAAAGTCTTCATCGGCCGCAACTGTAATAAAGAACTACATACCGTATACAAATCGATTTCACCCAGTTCTGTGTTCTTTTCTCCTTCGGACTCTTACATATTTTCTTTTATGGCCATCCGTTTTTGCTGGGTTCTAGCCAGAGAGCCCATAAAAAACTATTGCCCCCGTGGATGCACGGAAATCTACCTTATAGAGAGTTCTATACCGCGGCCCAGCCCAACAGAAATCCAAGCTGGAATTTCGGCCTGTCCAGGTGATTGCGTGCAACATGCACTCAGTTGTCATAAAAGTTGCCACTTTATGACTTACTTATGGAAAAAACAAAACAAGACAAGCTGGCCAAGGGTAAGGAACTCGCTGAAAAGCTAACAACTTCGAGTCTCCGCCATCTCACGGCGGAAATAGACCTAATGATCAATTAGCTCCGAACCGCGCTGCCGTTAGCTTCCGACTTGTCCACTGGGAGCGTCCAATTTCTGGACGATGGATGGATTGTGGGCTAGATGGGTCCGATGGATGGTCGGGGGACAGGCGAGGTAATGCGCAACTATGCGTCACTGCAATTAACCCAAAGCTCTAATTGGGGATGGTTAGCTGGGCATAAAATGTGTATTTTAAGGCCCATTACGGATGGCTTCCTGTCGCAAGAAACTCAACGCAACTCAACTCTGCAGCTCAGCAATAGAAAATCAAATAGAAGCCGGAGCAGTTGGAGCTGTCAGAAGTGGCCGTCGTATGATGATTGCGCAAGCGACACATGACCGAGCTGCAACTCCCAGATCCCAGGTCTCAACTCTCAGCTGCCAGCTTGCAGCTCTGAGATCCCAGATCCCAGATCCCAAAGCAACTTCAACTGCAGCAGCAGCAACTGCTTTAATTGGAAATTGTTGCAGCAGAGGCATCCGAAGCAGCACCAAGCAGTCAAGTGTTCTAGTTACGTGGCTGTCGTTTGCTTTCAATCTTTTGGCGCTCCGGCGCTGGCAATTGCATCACGCAAGGCAGAGAAGTGAGTCGAGCTGCCAACGGGTTTGGCTCTGGGTTGCGGCCATCTATCTCTTCCACCTCCTTGGCTACTTTCTAAAGCCTTTCCCCGCCGCGGCAACAACAGCTAAACTTACACAGTGAGATAATTCGGATGAGACTTACTGAGATGTTATCCTACACTTTTTATGAAGCTTCTCTTGAGATATTTTACAATACTCATTCTGCTAAACTAAACTTTCTTCTTAACAACCTTTTATTCTAGATCTAGAAACTAGGTCTATAGCTTTTCCCCGAGTGTACTGCTCAGCTTCTCATCTTGTCTCCTCTCAGCCTGGTTCACTTGGTTACTGCGCACAGCTTTTCCCCCCGGTTTCCTTTTTGTTTTCCCCGCTTTATTTTCATTTTTTGTCTTTTTGTTTAGCGCCCAGGTAACTGTTCCGAACTACAACAACCACCACAACTACAACTTCGAGAACAACTACAACAACCTCGAGTTGCAGTTGGGAAACTGGTGCAAGCTTCTCTGCTGCAAATTTGCAGTTAGTTCTACTGCTGCGTTGTCCGCCGTCGAAGTTGTCGTCGTCGCAGCCGTCGTTGTTTCTTTGGGCTTTGATTTTGCTGCTGCTATGTATGACATTACTTGTTCACTTTTTTCCTATTTTCTCCTCGCTTCAAATTGGAAATTAACGTGCAACAACTGGGCTATAGGATCCGAACTCGGCAACTGCAACGGCAACGTGAACAGCCCTTTGTTCTTAAAGTTTTTACAGAAATTAATTAAGTGCCTCGCCAGCGAGCGGGGGATTTATAGAGGTTGTTAGGAAAGTTGCTGCTGCTTTCGCAGTGACTCTGTTGTTAGTTTGGTTAGTTTTGTGTCACATGAGCCAAAAGTCTATAAATTTGCAAGAGCCATAAAATTAGCTCGTAAAGTTTTGTTTTTAGTACGACCCGCATGTATATATAGCTATGTATCTTTTTATATCTATGTATCCCCACATTTATAATGTCACTAATTAAAAAAGCGGATACGAAACCTGAAGTAATTTGGGGGAGCATTATTTTATTGCCGAAGATGGGAATCAGTCGAGTGGATTTACGACCCTGGCCAGTGATTAGTGAGATGAGAAATGGGTAACAAACCTTAAAGTGTCTTGTCTTGCCCCTTAATGTGGCACCCGAAATGAGTGGCTTCCCCTTTTTATTCTCTCTCTTATTCAATACCGCAATCAATTCGTCGTTTTGGGCACCGCTTATGGCCATCAAAGAATCATTTATAACCAGGGAAACAGTTTTGTCAAATTTCGATGGCCAATCCTTTTTAACACAGAGAACCCGCTGACAGCTGCCGCTCATCGCTGATGGATGGGCGTTTTGCAGCTTTTGGTTAGAGGAACACCGCGACTCGTGGCTTGACTTTGCCGGCGATTAGAGGCGCTGAAAGGGTTAACCAGATGGGGTGAGGGACTGGGGCTGGGAAGGCCTTTATCAGCAATCTGTCAGTGTGGCAAACATCATCATCATCAGCGTCCGCACTTGCGGCAGCTTCAAAGGCGGCGACATCTTCTGACTGACTGCGTGGTCGGTGTTTGACGTTGAATTTACAAATTACAACTAATTAAAAGTTGATGAGTCTGCGTGAGTGAAATCAAGCGGAGGCATCGTACCCCGTCCTGATTCTAAATTCCCCGGCGCTGATAAGCAAATGAGGAAGTCAGGAAAATTCTTTGAAAAATTGTATTTATTTTCGTGCTCGCTTTTTCCCCCTACCCTGGTTATTTGCGCAAGTCATCCGAGTGCCCCGGCTGCCCGTGATGTCTGGCCGATGTTTATCTGGGGGAACTATGATGGGGCATCCGCTGCACAACATTGTTGTACAGGAAATGTTTTCGTCAGAGAGGTGCAAATAAAAAGAATATTTGCATGCCATACCAGACCGATGAAGTGTGTGACAAAGCTACAGTAGCGGAGCTCATATGCTTTCAAATCAAATTTCCAGCCATATCCTAAACTAATAAAACAGAAATTGCCAAAATAAAACATCAATTTTAAAGCTTCGGGAAAAGTTGGCAATGAAAACATTTGCCAGAATAATTGTGCAAACATTCGCCATGACAACTGCCAAGATTTCCATGGAAAGAATTTCGCTTTGCTCTGCTCGAAAGAGGAAAGTAAATGCGCAAAATGAAAACATTTTTATGCCGATTTGTGTGGGAAAAGCAGCGACAATGATTATGACAACGATGATGACGTTGACAATGACAACGGCAACGGCAGTGGCAACGGCAACACAGCAGCAACATCAGCAGCTGAAGTTGCTGTGGCAAGAACCGCAATTGACTGATCCACACGGAGGGAAATTTCATTTAGGTTGCAAAATACAATAGAAAAGTTTTTTGATAAATTTTCAGAGTTTAAGCTCTCCAAAATAAAAAGAAATGAACTTCACTTTTTACACTTTAACATAGGTAAATTCGAATTTTGTATCATTTTAATATCCAACAGTAACATCTTTCTCAGTGCTTCCAGCCCACAGAACTCTTTCCAGGGAAAAGTAAGAAAAAAGAGTCAGACAGTTAGGTTATCGTCATTGCAGCTTCATAATTAAATATTGTCAACATGGAGGATGCCATGTTGCTGCCGCAGATGCGGCTATGATTCAATTCTTGCAGCTGAGACCGCTGCAACTTGATGGCCGACAACAGGAAGTGCGAAAACTATTAGTGGCACTTATTTATTCATTAGAGCCAGTTAGAGACACCCAGCTCGCTGTGCTCTAATTATGCAGATCGTTGGGGCTGGAAAGGCTGACAGCTGGGCAATGAGACGATGACGATGACGATGATGAGGATGAGGATGAGGATGCATCAGGATGCAGGCACACGATGCTCATTTCGCTATTTACACATTTGCATAATGACGACGGGATGTCAATGCACCTTGGGCAGGGATTGGGTTTGAGTTCGGGTTCAATGTGCGTGACGAGATGAGTTATAGGCGTTGCCCTTCGCTTACCTGCTCGAGATATCTGAAGGGGCGGCAGGCACTGGAGCTTTATGCCTGGCAATCACTGGCTTATCAACACACACAAATCAGAGCGGATCCGCAATATTTATAGGACGCACACACTTTTATGGCTAGATGTTGATTGTATGCAAAAATGATATTTTAAGTGGGGAACCCTCGGTTCGGTTTTATTTTATTCCTCCGCCTTTGCGCCACATGGGAGCGATTTCCGAAGAACTCCGGCCGCTGCTCCAAAAACACACACTCGCACACCAACAACACACACACTCTGGGCAATAATAAAAGCGTAAATGCTTATTTATTTGCAAGTCGTTCGCAAAATGCGCTCTTGTATAATTTATGAAGACCGCGCACACGACGTCGACAAGCTCGAGAAATGCGAAATGCGGAATGCTAAAACCGAAAAACCGAAAAACCGGCAACAAAAAAAGCCGAAATTGAACTTTTTATTTGATGGCTGTTTTTTAGAATCGGTCAAGAGACCCTCATAAAAAGAGCCCTTTTCGAAGTCACTGAGTTTGATTGTCTGCGGGTCAGAGGTCAGAGTTTGCGGAACAACTGCAGTCCATCAATCACAACTGCCGAATGCAGGGCCCGAAAAACCGCTGGGCTTGCAGTTGGCCAACCGATCAAGCAGACCAATCCGACCGATAAACCCGACGAAAGCCGAAACCCAAACTATAGCGAATCCCGATCCGAACCAAAATCCACTAGTTCCGCTGCAGCGTGCGTTACGTGCGACGGTCCAACAGCAACTGCTCGAAAATCGACTTGGAGCCGCCTGGCTGAGCCCGCGGGTGGAACCTGTTTCTGGGGTGGACCGCGAGTGTGGATGGTGTTGGCTCTTTGGAGCGGAGTAGTCGGCACTTTTGGCGCCAACTTTGGAGAGTTTCAAATGCCGGCTGTCAGGAGAGAAATCTCCACTAGCACGTGGTTTGGCAATAAGATTGGCTTGAAAGTTGTGTTTTTTAACTTTTGTGAATTGGGTTTTGCTGATTAAGTTCCTTTTTTTATAACCAAGGGTTTGCTTGTTACGTAATACAATAACGTTATTTACTTAACTGGTTAAAACATAGAAAAGCGTAGGTTCAACTTAAGAATGTCAATCTAAAATTATAAAGACTTACATCTTAAAAGTATAATTAAATGCTAGAAATTGAATTAATAAAGTTTCTATCTTTTTCCCCTTTAATCTTCTCTTGATTTTCCTTTACCCCAGACATGTTACGAATGAGTGGAGCAAAACAAACTGCACGATGTGTGTAGAGTTGGAGAGCGCATGCGCACGCTGAGAGCAGCAACTCCGGAGAAAACCACTCCAGTCGAGAGAGAGATTCGAGTGGCAGAGAGCGGGAGTTCAGCCGGGAAAGACTACGAAAATAAATGCCACGGAATTGACAGGGGCGGCAGTTGGATTTGGATGAGTTCTTTCAGGGGGGAAGAAGCACCAGGGGAAGGGGCAGCGACTGGGGTTAGTCAGCATCTGCTTTGTATCTTGCACGCCGAGTGATAGCTAAAGATACTTTGCCACCCCGCCTCCCAGCTCGCTTGGATTAAGTGCGCTTGTAGCTGTCTATCAGACAGAAATCACCCCATAGAACGCCGATGATCCACTGGCGGGCCAGGCGATCCGGGAAGTGCTCCTCCATCGCCTGTAATTTGCGGACCGCAAGTGGCCGAGACACATCGGAATTCGCATTCGCCCCGACCAGAAATCCAGAAATCGACAAAATACACACCCCCTGCCTATCGATCAGTGGTCATCGGCTGAGGAATTTCCTCAGAAATATTTATCTACGCTAATTTCCCTGCTAAACTTGGGCAAGTGCAGAGGAAACCGCATCATTGGCTCGCCAGCAATTTTCGCTGCTCGCGTGCCAGTTTGTTGCAACATTGCAACACCGCAGAACGCCTTCGACTCCAGCTTCCCATAGAAGAGTTTCGGCTGTCCACTTTTGTCCAAGGGTCCAGAGATGCCTCCACCTTCTCCTCCTCCGTCTCCTCTGGGCTCTTTGTGGCTCTCTGGCGTTTGGTTTATGGTTTATGCGCCGCCGTTTTTGGTCTATTAAAATGATTGCAGTATTTACGTAGCGCTTTTCAGCCATAATTTGTATTTGCTATGCTCATCATCATCATCATTGGGCAGAGGAAGAGGCGCATTCAAAGGCAAAGGCGAAGGCATGGGCACTGGCACTGGCACTGGCACAGGCACATCCTCCTCCTCTGCGGTTTCTTCGGTTTTCCTCTGCGCAGCCCCCGGCACTTGACCCTTCCTCTAGGTCTAAGCTCTTCTATTGTTTATCTGCAACGAGCCAGGCCCAAAAACCAGTCTCGGCCTCAGTTTCCTTTCCCAGTCTCCCATTCGGCCAGTCTCCGTGGTGCGTTCGCATTCTGATATTTCTGGCCTTATCGCCCCTGGCGTCACATTGGCGTATTTACCATGATTATTGATCGCTTAATACGAATTTGCTGCTCTTCGTGTTTATTTGTGCAGCTTACAGATACCACGGCTCTATTTTGTTGCATAAATATTTGTCACATCGTGATCCACTACAGCTGGCAGTGCCGCCGAGCCGCAGATATGAGTGCAGTGTCGTTGACTCGGCGTGAAAGTTGGCTGGGAATTAAAGTAATAATCGTAAGACAGGCCAGCCCGGGCTCGAAACTTTCAGTTTCTGGCGATGAGTGAGTGTGTGACTGAGTGGCTTCATTCAAGTGCCAGTTATTCGATCATTGCAGAAGTTAATGCACATTCTCAGGGCGAAGACTCGAAGTGCAGAAGAAGAAGCTGGCGGATTTCAAAGTCAATCGACACGCCCACCGAGGACATTGAACTGGAAGATGGGTTATAAAGTGTGCACTCAAAGAAATTAATGGCTAATGACGTAATTTTAGATTACTTTTATGGTTAAATAAAAATCAAATCAATCTTTATACTCAATACTCATAAAAATTGAAGAAACTTTTCACGTAACATCAAGTCCATCAAAGCCATTTAAGATATTTTTCTTTCTCTGCAACATTAAATAACCAGTTTTGTGTGGCACATTTTTTGTAGGAACTTCCGCTTAGCAGGAACACAGCCAATTTTGACAGATTACAAGGCAGCGAAACGGCCTGAAGGCATCTTTCTGGCTTTTTGGTTTGGTTTTTGGTTTTTGGTAAGCCACCAGCCGAGAGCTGAAGAAGGAACCCTAATCAATGGCCTCAGTGCAGGCAGGCAGGGCAGGGCGAGATGCCATTGAACCATCGGGAATTGGCCCGAAATTCAAACTGGCTCACTGAAATGGCCAGAAGCAGCAGCACCAGCAGCAGAAATGCCGCCCTGCTGCTTTCAATTACGTGGGCTGGCTACCAAAAAAGTTCAAGCCGAGCCAAACAAATTTATGGCCAGAACAGAGAACAGAGCCGTTCAAGATCTGCATTTAAAAAGCAAGCTCCGCAGACGCTTGCCAACGATTAAGCACCGCAAATCAAAAGCCAGGCAAAAGTGCAAAAGGAAACCACGACGAAAACCCCAGAGACCCCGGACTCCGGACACCGGATTCCGGATCACGGAGTCCAACGCAAACCCGCAAATGACAAATGTTTGCACTGAGCGTTTTGCTTGAAATGCAACAAGAAAGGCCAAAAAAATGTGGAAAACCAGGCGAAAACAACCATAAAGTGTTGAGTGCTGGCGGAAATCACTTGAAACCGAAAATAAATCAAAGGAAACAATAATGGAGCACCGCCAGAAACAAAGAGCCAAAGCCAGAATCGAAGAGGAAAAGCGGAAAATAGCGCTGCCGCCGTCCGACGTCAGCGCACAAAACACACAAAACCCGATAAAAGCAGCGAGAGTCTGCAGAAATAATAAAATAAAAGGGAAATCACCAGCTGAAACAGTAGTAAAAAGCCGGGCAGTAATAAACGAGGTCCGGGAATCAAAAGTCTGACACTAACTCAAACCCAGCTTCCAAGATCTGAGGACCCGGTGTCCTTGTGAGCCAGCGACTCGTGTGATTTATGTCCCATTGTCCACTGATGTCAACCTGGCCCAACGTCTGCTGAAAGTCTGGCCAGCCTTAATTGCTCTGGTGGTCAGCCACGCCTCTCCAACTCCTCCGCCATCGCCACCGCCACCGCCCATGACCATGCCCATGCCCATGCCCAACCCATGTCGACATATCCCGCAATTACAGAGGCGACGACTATTACTCACCTCTTTATATGGGGCTTCAGGAACGAAGATTGGATGCAATAAAACAAAAGGTGAGATAAGGCGTGATTCTAGGAACCGACTGCCAGTGATTCCCTCTGCGAAAGCCATTAAACAGGTGTAGCCGATTCGATATTTTTGATTTCTTAATTAAGTGAGCCAGGAATGATAATAAAATGTCAACGAAATGATGATTGTTGGTCAACTCATCAATCAAAAGGCAGATATTGGATGGTATTTATAGCTTGTTAAAAGATATCAGTCATCTATAACTACTCCTAAAACTGCTAAAAATAATAAATAATAACAAAAATACTGCCTAACCAAGGCTTCTTTAAGAAATACGCCGGCTACGGGCCGTAATTAGAGGGCACTCCTCGGGATTAATCTTCCGGCTGTTCAGAAACGCTCGATTGCCATTTAAAGGATTATAATTTCTGCATTGCCGAAACTAAAAACTTCAGACGCAAACTTTGCAGACAGTTTTTGTGCCATTTAAACTCCCTTTTGGCCGGGTTCAGAGTGCTTTCGGAGCAAGGTGGGCCGGGATCCGGTAAAAGGGATCCGTTTAGTTTTTATTTGGCCGTGCGGCATTTGAATTCAAATGTGCTCTTAAATCGGCTTAGTTTTGCGAGCAGCTTTTATGTTCCAGGCGGCTTAAATTAATGCGCCAGCAGGGACTTCGTTCAAACAGAACAAAAAGCACGGCTCACCCTGCAATGAAATATGAAACGAAGGGGTTTGGGGATACACGGCAGAGGTGATTAAATAGTTCAACGGATTTTCAGTGTTTATATGGCCGGTGAGTGATTTTAATTGATTTCAAGTTGCCCGGCTACTGCAGTTGCCCCTTCCCTGGAGAGCCATAAAACCGGACAAGCTCTATCTAATCAGCGCCACTTTCACGCCCACTTTCAGTCAAAATCACTGCTAAGTGTTGTGAAAATTAGATTGTAAACATTTTTAATTTGCCTTGTTAGTGCTGAGATTGCTGTTGAAGCGATCGGCGGAATACCCTCACTATCAGCTATAGTTTTCCAGGCTATCTGCGGTCCATAAAATAAATTCATAAAATAAAAACATGTTCCGATTACTAAAACATAAACTACAAAAGAAGACAATCTTTATTGCTCAATCACACATAACTTGTGTACATTATTGGGTGGATCATTGGGTGAAGTTTGGATGATACAGATAAGGCTTGAGTATAATTTTCCACCATTTATGGAATTAAATATTAGTAAATGATAATAACTATTATCGGCGAACAGGAGGAGTGCAGTAGAGTGCTTCTTGATTGATCGGCAAATGTTGTAAATTAAATTTTCACCCGTTAAATGGAGGGGTAAACACTTGATAGAGCCATCCATTTGCCAGCTAAAGAGCCCAATCTGCTGCGATTTTCCAACTATCTGCGATGTTATGGGCCTAACGAACGTGCCACGTGCCTGCTCGTGATTCAGGAATCATCCGACAGCATTAATGACCCAATGGAGTGAGGTGTGGATGCCACAACAGTAGCAGCCAATGCGTAATGCACTCCGGCGTAGTTTTGTTTCTGCGTCTCTGTTTCGTGGTCATAAATTTTTATGGGCCTCATGAAGCTAACAGCGGGAGGCGGTCTTGTTCTTGGTAAAAGGGGCGAACGGTTGATTAGAGTGCTGATGGGGGCTGGAAAACTACGTCCTACTCTCTACTCAAATGGCCCAAGATGCACTGTACAGTTATCACTCAAGAACTTCTTTAGGTTTCAGAGCTACACGTGTAAAGGGAAAGTACTCCCAGGAGCCATAACTGTTTCTATTTAGGTGTTAAGTTGATCAGACCTAGAATGACATATACACGATCCGTTGCCAAGCAGAGTGGAATTTTCAGGTGACTGGCGACTGAAAAGCACTCGTCGACATCCGTTGGATAACCGCGGCTAATCAAATCCGATCTAGTCGAATTGCAGAAATACCTGTGCCAAAAATAAACGCCAGCCAACGGCTTCTGACAATGGGTCATCATCAATTATGCGATCGCTCGGTTAACTGAAGTGCGACAGCGTACGATATATCTCCGGGGTGTATAAATAAAGACTGTGCGACGACAAGTGGCTGGCGTTTTGGCCCGGCCACTTAATCAAAAGTCCGGAGACATGAGCAAACATTTTGGCCGCTCTCTCCGGCGGAGTGATAACCACAATTAACGGCATTACACGGCAGGCGGGGGAAAAGCCGGCCACTTACAAGCGATTTTGGCCAGTGGCGATAAGGCCAGGAGCCACCCAACAATAATTGGCCGAACAAGCTGTCATGAGTGGCGAAGAATTAAAAGCCGCTCGCAATTAAAATAAATAAGTTAGTAATAGATATTACGTAGAACGAAGTGCTCCCCGAAGTGCCCGAACCCGAACTGCAAATCCGTCCGACCGCCGATACTCCGCTACTGGCGAACTGGACAAGAGTTTGGCCAACACGGTGCCAAAAAAGTTAAATAGTTGATCGAGAAAGGGCCAAGCGGATGGCCGTGAAACCGCAGCGCGCTAAAAAGAAAACACCGAAACGTCGCGAAATCGTCGCACTCCTGGAAAATTACTAATTGAGTCTCGTGATTAAGAAAAACGAGTTGCAAGACATGACTAACCGCATAATGGATACACTGGGAATTTTTATACTCATCGGCTGTTTGGGATTATCAGCTGCGCATGAAATGAATCTTCGAGATCTTCAGCAGAATTTGGGTATGTTGGAAGGACCTTCAGGGATTTGAAGTCCTTCATTTGCTGGCTTGACATAGGAACGATTTTTTTTGATTCAGGAAAATAATTGATTGAAATTTTATGGGATACTGTTACCACACAAACTTTTTAGAAAAACCAGAAAAGTTCTTAAAATGGCTTTTTGAGTTTTTAAATTGTTTCTCTTTTTGAACTGCTTGGATGAACTTATAGTTCATAGTTGTTCCTTTAAATTAAATTTATAAAAACATATTTAGCTAACTTTTACAATTTTAATTGTTTGTAAATTTTTACGATTTCACAATTTGAAGTGTGAATACGAAATAATAACCAATTACGTGTACATAAGTCTTAGAACTTGAAAGCATTAAATCGATCAATGGACTTACATGTTTAAGTTTTTACTGAACGAGTATTTCGTTTTTTAATTTCACAATTCATGTTGGTCTCAGGATATTTCGGGATATTTCACTTTTAAATACTTTCCCAATTCAATTTACCTTATCGCAATTAGACAATATTTATTTTTACTTACCTCGATTATCGTGAATACGAGGAGAAATTATCTGCACTTAAAAAACGTATCAATCAAATGGAAAACCATTTCAGCGGCTCGTGGCCTTTGATACGATTTCACCATAAGTTATCCTGTGTAAGGGTTAAAGATCAGAAAAAGGATATAAACTCAAAGAAGATATACTTATTTTTATGATATATAAAAGATAAATCAAATAGACATGCAGCTATTAAAGAACTCATTGATTTCTCAACTAAATTTGCTTAATTTGTGTAATCTCTCATTTCCCTTAGCTGCCAATGGATCTGTTGTGGTGGCCCCCATCAACAGCTCGGACACGTATAGTGTGTCCATAAACCTCTCCCAATCCACCGTCAACAACTGTCCTTCGCTGGAAAACGCAGCCTCCTTGACGCAGATGGAGTTGCTGACCCGTTTGACCGCGGACTGCCGCTATGACAAGATGGTGCCACCGACAGTCTATAACGCAGAAGGCGAGGAGGTGCCCTATGGACATCTATGCCCGGTTCTACATATATGTGATGAAGGACCTGGACTCCAGTGACCTGCAGTTTCTGGTGCAGGGTCTGCTGCAGTTGCGATACACGGATCCGCGGCTGGCCTTCTCCAGTTACCTGCCCAATCGAAGGCAGCCCATAATGGGGGAAGCGGGCATAAAGAAGATGCTCTGGGTGCCGCATATTTTTCTGACCAATGAAGAGTCCTCCAGTGTTTTGGGAACCACCGCGAAGGACGAGCTGACCACCATCTATCCGAATGGAACAGTTCTGATTTCCACCAGGCTGCAGGCCAATCTCTACTGCTGGATGAACTATCAGAAGTTTCCGTTTGATGAGCAGAAGTGCACGACCATCCTGGAGAGCTGGATGTACAACACCTCGCTGGTGGCGCTTCACTGGGAGACCCACAATCCTGTGACGTTCGACCAGCAACTGCAGTTAACGGAGTACAACCTGATTGGATCCCTGTACAACGAATCCATCAGGGTATCCAATAACTCGTACATGTCCCATGGTTCCCTGGAGGGCAACTATAGCATCATTAGCTTCACTGTCCTGCTGACTCGAGAGGTGGGCTACTACGTGATCGACTACTTCTTGCCCTCGATCATGATCGTGACCATTTCCTGGGTGTCCTTCTGGCTGCAGGCGGATCAAACTCCTGCCAGGACTACTCTGGGCTGCACCACCCTGCTGTCCTTCATCACACTGTCCTTGTCCCAGGAGAACGACCTGATGAAGGTGAGCTATGTGACCATGTCGGAGGTGTGGTTCCTGGTATGCACCATCTTCATCTTTGGCAGCCTGGTGGAGTTCGCCTTTGTCAATACCATCTGGCGAAGGAACAACGACCTGCAGCTCAAAAAGCGAACCACCAAGTACATTGTGAAGTCCACCTTTGTTCCGAATCTGAAAAGACATCGTCGCCATGGCTATAGGAGGACCGACAGCACCATGAGTACCATGAGCACCACCAGCATGGACAAGTCCTGCGGTCCCAATAACACCGTGATCACCATAGAGACTCCTATTATCATAGGAGGCAGTCTCAGTCGAGAGGACTCGGCCATTAGCTTGGACGAGCAGGATGAGACTTCCACTTCGTCATCCAGTGAGTCCACCAAGGAGAAGCCAGCCCAGACTTTTGCCACCATGACGCCCAAGGAAGTGTCCCTGTGGATCGACCGGAAGATGCGGTTCGTCTTTCCCCTGTCCTTCATCGTCTTCAATGCCTTGTTTTGGACCCTGGTCTACTGCCTCTGAGGCGTTCCTCAGAGGAAGAGAGCCAATTCTGTGATCCTGGAGCATCCTCACCCCTTGCCTCATTAGCCTTAGTTAAGGTATGATGAAACTTGCATTAAAATTCGGCCGACTGACTAAATTTGCTTTTGAAAGATCTTCCCATCTCCCATCAATATCTTGTGAAAAACACCAAAATGTCGCAATAAACTTCCTCCAGTAATGCAATATGAAAATATTGAAAATGTTTTTCTCCCAGTCGGCCGAATTTCAAGCAAGAGTTTCATACCTTTAGTCCACAAATCCCCGACAGGTGATGGAGTTTCCCCTCTCAGGGCCGTACGTGTTATGTAGTCTGTATTTGTTTCTAATAAATTATATGTTTTGATACAACACCTCCCCCGACTTGAGCACGTACAGATCTGATAAATACGTTCCTATTAGCAGCGGGCAGGGCCATAAATGCCGGGCGATGATGGGGCAGTCAGGAGCGGGCAGCCCGCTATATTTGTATCAATGAAAAAATCATAATGCCAGCACGCCCCACTGCAGCCAGCTCGATTCTTAATTAATTGGCCATGATGATGGGACTGTTGAAAAGTCTAGCGGTTGCTGTGCTCCTCCAGAGAATCCGTGGCAACCATTGGATCCACAGAATTTCCAGCGAGCGGCTGCTCTTGATAAATTAACGGCTCATGCAACACGTAAATTGATTTTAAATTGCCTTATAAATGAACTCCAATTCGCCGGGCAATAAACAATGTGTTATTGCGATCTCCGGCTAGATGCCGAATAATTTCGCCTGCTGCTTGTCGTCGGTGAGAATGGGAATTAATTTCCAGTGTCCATAACTTAGATCGATCCCAGCCATGAAGCCCATTGCTATGCAAAGCCCCTATCTGGCCATCAATCTCGGCATTTTCCGTTCTCGAACTCGTTTTAGCCAACTCCGCCGCGAGGTGTACATAATGAGATGTAATCTGTCAAAATTAAGTGTATCGCTGGACCACTGGACCACTGGACCCCTCCCTTGACCGCTCTCCGCACTCACAAAGCCTCCGTTCGAGGCTTTTCCCTTTTTTCGAGGAGGTGGATGCCAGCCAGTTAAAAATTTGTTCGCAGCCTGAAACTTTTGAGGCCCGACAAGTTTATTGAACTCGCAGCGAGGGCCGTTCCTTAGGTTCCAGTCACCGGATGTTCCCATGTCAGGCGGTAAGCCCTGCCATATGATAGATGCCCCGAACAGCTGTCCGCTGTGTACTTATCAATCGGCTCCCGATTTGGTGGGCCTAAAAACAAGGGCTCAACTCCCTCAAGAGCACTTTTCTTTATCGATTGGGCGCATAATGGGTCAGCCCGGAGTTCATTTACACGCCGCTTATTTGTTTAGCTTAACTTCCGATTCCCTAGACCTATGAATGAATCCGAGTCCCAATCCGAGTGCGAGGCACCGCGGGAACCACTTGCCCCTCCCAGCAAATGAGCTGCATAATAAGCGAGTGCCTCAGTCCGTTTGTTTTTCTTGCCTTTTTGCTGCGGATCTCTCCTTCTGCACATGAGAATTACAGACATTTTCATTTATTATTATGTGGTCCGGCCGTATAATTTGCAGTCACTTGCGACCGCTCCAGGCTCCCACACGTCGTCCCCGCGTTTCTCAACCATGAAGTTGCAATGTAAATGCCACCGACTCCACACTCAACCGCAAGCGGGCAAACTCCATATAAATGGGTAAATTAATAAACAGAACGAACAAAAGAACCAACACGAAAGACACAATTATTGTAATGCGTTGCTTAGACTGCTTTGAGCTGGGGTTTCCCATCACACAATGCGATTCGAAAGGGTTAGGGAAGTGATGGTTTGAGTTGAGGACAGGCATACAAATGGTTATTAGACAAATGCTAGGCATTCCTAATAATAAAGCAATATTGTCAATTATTTTTACTTCATAAAAACCACTGCTATTGAGGAAAGTAAGTAATTAGAAGAAACATATATTAGTATTTAAGCAAAGCTCTAAGACCATAACATTTTTTGCTTTTCCAAATGAGAACAAAACGGAAGTATACTATAAGTATTGAACTTCACATCTAAGAAACTTGTTTATTTTTATAAAAATGATCCCAAATAGAGGGAAGGAGAGCCACTTCCAAGATCTATATCCTCCCAACTTGCTTACAAATAAACGACAAATATCCCATTTATCTTGCAACAACCTCAAGAACTACTTATTTTCGGAGAGCATTATGTAGTCGTGGTCCAGACCCAGATCCAACCCCCATGTAAATACTCATTGCATTAGTCGGTTTATTTATAGATGGTGGGAAAAATTCTATTTCGAGCCGCTTTTGGAGCGCCCAACTCAGATCTCGGCTATCTGGGCACCAGAATCAGAAACATAGAAGTCGACCGCGAGACAAGGGGAGCAGCCTCATTGTTGTTATGTTAGTTTGGTTAGCCAATTTCTGTGTGGTGTTTGAAGCCTGTCTTTCGTCTAGATGTCGGGGCTTGGACTTCAGGTTTAGAGTTGGGGGTTTGGGGTTTGGTGCGGAGCTCCATTTCCAGTCCAGTCACGCTCGGTGGGCGCTGGTTCAGAAGTCAAGTACGAGCCATTGCCGTCCACTTGGCCAAAGCGTGCGAATGAGCCCAAGTCTTGGGCCCAAAAGAACCGAGACTTGGCAATCGATTTTATGACTAATAGATGCCTTAAATAACTGCCCAATACCGGCTAATTTGGCCAAAGCCGTGTGCAAATTTAATGCACATCATGGCCGGGGCATTAGCATAAGCCTTTGCCCAGCGGATTAAGTTGCCAGTCTGGACAAACCGCATGGCTAATGAGAATGCAGCAGCTTCGTGCCCACATCCAGTCTCCTGGCCAAGGCCCAGGTCCACATCCACATCCATGTCCAAGTCTTGGGTATTTACATGCTGCATGCCACAACCTATTAACAAATTGCAAACAAAACTGGCGACCGCACAGTAGCCTCCCATTCGGGAGGACTGCGTCTTAGCTCCCGAGAAGTGGGCGTGCATTCTAAATTATGGTGCTAATAAGGAGCTGCCTTTGCGGCTAATTTAATGGAATGCAAACGCACTGCGTTGATGCATCGTGGCTCGAGCCCGAGGCCGAGGCAGAGTCCGATGCCGCGGCTCTCGGAGATTCCAGCTGCTCTGCGCTGCCTTGACCCACGATGATCTCTTGGCGGACTATGACGATGGCGCCGGGCGATTAGGTGGCGTGCAACCACGGCAGCTGGAACTAGAAACAGCACCACTGGTGGCGCCTGTGCACCACCGCCACACAGCACAGATTTGAATCATTCACTTGGCTTGAGCCTTGAATCGCCCAAAGGCCCGAAACGTTTTGCACGTTTTTCCAATGAAGCCGCAAAACGGGGCGCCCCTCCTGCGGTCATAATTAATGAAAATTGCCGGGGCACTCGGAAAAACGTTGAGCAGGAAAAGTGCACTGAGAGTCATTAAAAAACTCATTTACTTTAAATATTTTTTAAAATGCTAACAAAATGGTTAACACATACCGTTTATTACATCCACAAATTGAAAATCAGATGATTAAATGAAATATTTTAATAATTTCTCGCCCTGTAAATGCAACTGGTTTTTCCTATACTTACCACGCCCTGAAGCACTGCGATCGATCGTTCGCCTGGCCATTTCTCTCGGGAAATACCTTTTGCAGGTAGCCATGTGACGATCCGGCTGTACAAACTCCCCTTAGGGCAGTGGTTATTAATTAGTATCTGCTTATCGCCGAGGCACTCGACTTGTACATTTGTCATAGATACATAGATACATTTGGTACACACCAAACAAAGGTATCTGGCCTCACATGGCGGGGGAGTGGCCCACGAAAGCGGAGTCGACGACATTAGCGCGATCCGATCTTATCGAGAAATGTTTTGCTCGTCGGGTGACACTATCTTAAATGGAACTGAGTCGGCCGAACTGCTGGTTGGCCAACTTTGGCCGGATGAAGAGCTGGCGCTCATCCGCAATTTATGGCCCTCTGGCTGGGGTAAGCAAAAATTGGCCCGGACCTTAGCCATTCTAATTCTAGGTTGGCCTTAATTAAACACGATATCGGCAGGGTAAGTGCAGCAGCCTTCTAGCCTGGCGCCACAAAGTTCCCCTCTTGGCCACTGTTTCAGCCACATTGTCAAATGGTAATCAAGAAAGGCATCAACCTGTCGAGGTTATCGCACCCAGTGCGCTAAACAGCTGGCAAACAACACTTGGCCCAGAGACAAACAGCCATGACTGGGACTGTCTGGGGTGAAAATCATGTACAGCCTCTCTGAGAATCACGCCTACGATGACTAGGATTACTAGAAAGCGTAACACTTGGTAGTGAGTTGCCAAGATACTTTACTCGTAAATCGTTTTGGAAAACCCTAAACCCTCTTAAGTCCCTCTGGAACATCCGCAATGCGTTTGGATTTATAAAAGTTCCACAAATAGTAAGTCCCAAAACCTCTGATCATCCAACCTGTGATATCATCCGACGTTAGATAGGCCTTTTCTGAAAGTCATCATCCAACGATTGTTTATAATTTGAAATTTAAAGATTTTTTTCATGAAATAATAACTTATTAGGATACACATCTAAATAATTTCGTGAATAAAGCTGTAATATAACTTACGAGTGCTGCTCCTGAAAGATTTCTATTTAATTTGTGACTCATTTGTGAATGATTCAGACTCTCCGGCAAGTCTGGTCGCAGATAACGCTTCTCATTCTGCCCCAGCTTTGTGGCAGTGAGTTTGGGGGTCCTTTCAGCGCGCTTCGTTTGCGGCAAACGAGGCTGGCAGAGGAAAACTTTTGCAGCTTGCAACTTGCCAGTTGCGAGTTGCGACTTGGCGACTTGGCCATTACTTCCACCAGAAGATATTCAACATCAGCTTAGTGCTCCGACACACACGCGCTCACAAAAGCCAAGTACGCGGGCTAAAAAGCAACATGGAAAAAAATTAGTTAAAAGATAAACAAGGCGAAGCCAAAGAGCAGGGCCATGGGCAAGGGCACTTTTGGGGGGGTGTACTGTAGTCTGTCGTGCTGCTTGCGGCTTTGTCTTGATTATGTGGGTTCAGCAGGAGCAGCAGGAGCAGAAGAAGCAGCTGGAGCAGCAGGAGCTGCAGCCAAAATAAGATACTTGCATACACATTCTAGGCAACTTTGTAGCCGCATCTTGTTAGCCAAACTCGAAACGCGAAAACGAGAAGCTTCACAATGGCTGGGCCAAAATAATTGCTTAAAAGGCGCATTTTAAATATGGCCAAATAACAAAGCGAACGCACATTGCTGGAGATGCATGGCCGCGGCTAATTAAATACAAACACGTGCCCACATAACTCAAACCCGAAGCCCGGACT